ACCTTTGATTGATTGATATATTCCAGAGATCAATTTGTGGACACAGCTTTGGAAGCCTCTCTGAAACTAAAAGCAGAGCATGCTTCCCCCTCCCTGGCTCACCCTATGGAAATAGGTTTATTGTTTTACCTGATTATAAAAGCAATACAATAAAAGTGGGGAGAAAATGTAATACACTGTAAATTTAAGTAGTTATAAATTTATCAATTACAAATTTAAGCGATTCAGAAAAGATGAAAAAGATAAATTTTTAATCAAAAATCAGAAGCTTACCATTTATACATTATCATTATTATTAATACTTTGTTGTCCTTTCAATTTAAAAAAAATTTTTTTGTTAGTTTTGAGAGAAAGAAAGAGCACACATTCACAAGCCAGGGAGAGGCAGAGAGAGAGAAAGAGAGAGACACAGAATCCGAAGCATACTCCAAGCTCTGAGCTGTCAGCACAGAGCCCTACACGGGGTTTGAACCCATGAACCATGGAATCATGACCTGAGCCAAAGCCAGACACTTAACTAACTGAGCCACCCAGGCACCCTTAAAATTTTGTTCTCTTTTCAGACTTTTCTCTCAGCATATATAAACACGTAGATTGACTTCACTTTGTCTTAAAAATACCTATCATGCTATTCTGTTTTGTAATCAACTTTTTTCTTTTTCTTAAGATATTCCAGACATCCTTAGCAGCATGAAGATGTTATTTGGTCATTGTGCTCTCTTACCACCCCCTACTTCTCTTAATTTCTATTTTTTTATGATAGGGATTCTATTATAGCTCAGGGCATAATCACCACAACACCTTTTGCAAGTGCACATGCATCACTTTTTGCTTTTCAGTTAAGAAAAATCACTGAATTGTAGTTACTCTTGCCAGAAGATAAAGAATGAGGCAATTACATATTCCCCTGAGACTGATGAAATTTGTCCTGCAAATTAACTGTTTAAGAAATTCATTCCATCAGTTATATGTCAATTAAAAAAATTAATAAAAGAAATGTATTCCAAACAAGGTGCCCCCTAGAAGCTAGCTCATAACACAGTCTGAACTTCTGGCTCACTAAAATCTAGGGTGTTACTCGGAAGACAGGGGAATGGTATATGGCATTGCCGTACAGTCAAATTTCAACGTGACAAATTAGAAAGAAAAGCATTTTTGTATTGCATGTGCAGGTGAGCAATTCTGCCATTCTTGCAACCTCCAGAAATGTGGAAATAAACTTACCTCCTGCTTGATTACTGTCTAGACAGCCAAAGTAAACTTTATAACACTGATGGTGACAGATTCTCTTCTAAGTTCTACATTTACTCATTAGAGAGGAAGTGATGTGGCCAAGTAGAACCATTATTTGTTTGACACAACTTTTCACTTAAACCTAATATTCTGAACCCAATAGTATGAATTATTCCCAAGCATTAGAGCCATTCAAGACCCAGAACTCAGCAATGTTGACCTTTAATTGACCCAAGTAGGATGTTTTTGTCAGTAGGTGAGGTAGGCTCTCAGGTCATAATGGTTTAGAACATGGAAATGGTTTAGAATGGTTTAGAAAATGGAAATTGTTTAATTAGGATTCTAGGTCTTGAAATGAAGGGGGCTTGGATACAAAAACTTTCATGAAGAAAGTAATCAGGAGAGTTCAGACAGAGGGAAAGGTCCATGCGAAGAGAACAGATAAAAATAATATCTGAGCAGGACACCTGGGTGGCTCAGTCAGTTGAGCATCCTGACTTCAGCTCAGGTCATGATCTTGCGGTCTGTGAGTTCGAGCCCTGTGTTGGGCTCTGTGCTGACAGCTCAGAGCCTGGACCTGCTTTGGATTCTATGTCTCCCTCTCTCTCTGCCCCTCCCCCACTCGCACTCTGTGTGTGTGTGTGTGTGTGTGTGTGTGTGTGTCTTTCTCAAAAATAAACAAACATTAACAAAATAATAATTTAAAAACTTAAAAAATAAATAAACCTTTGGTGAGCAAAGATATCTCACCAAACTCTATAAAAGAGCAGTTTTTAACTCTTCATGCCTAATTATAAATACTAAGATTTGCATTTCTAGAAGCTCGGAATCAGAATTGGAAGGGATCTTAAAGAGTTATGTTTTGCAACTTCTCTCATTTTATAGTTGAAAAAAATTAATTGTTCTGCCCCAGATCTCACAATGACATTAGTAGGAGGTCTTGAAGTAGAGTCAAGATCCTCTGGCTCCTAATGCCCTGCCCTATTTCATTATGGTCCTCTAATTGTTGGGCTTCTAAGGGTAGCTAACATTGAAGCTCTTTTAGTCTGTCATATTTTTGTACTTGATAGTGTTTCCTTAACCCCCCCCCCCCCCCCGCCCCGGACCTGAGGAATGGAAGTTCTTAATCTTTCTCATGGTGCCCTTGTTAAGAGCACCAGGAAGTGGAGGGCTTGGGCTCTTAGTCTCAGGAGATCTGGCAGTTAGGCTTCTGGATTCTGTGGCTGCCTTTATTCTTGCTACCATTGTGAGTTGCTGGAACAAATCATTCCACAAGAATCTGAGGGAGAAAAGTATCATGAAGCAGGTGCTTTCTTAGACTGAAGCACAAAAAGTGTCTATAAACAGCTGTCTATGGTAGTAAGCCATGTATTGAAAAAAGATCAGATCAGTAAATGGTCTTGTTAAAACACATGTAGCTCAGTCCTCTGGTCTTTCTAGAAATATAATTTTTAAAGGAGGATAATACTTAAACACATCTCTCTCTGGTATAATTTAAAAAGTAAGGGCTCCTGGGCGGCTCTGTGGTTAAGCATCCAATTCTTGATTTTGGCTCAGGTCATGATCTCATGGTCATGAGATTGAGCCCCACATTAGGCTCAGCACTGGGCATGGAGGCTGCTTGAGATTCTGTCTCCCTCTCCTCCCCTGCTTACACACGTGTTCATGCGTGTGCTTGCTCTCTCTCAAAAAAATAATAATAAAAATAAAAGTTACGTACATTTCAGGCAATGGAAAGAGATTTATGTGTGCACTGAGTAAGTCACCCTTGCGTCGGAAACATTCAACTCCCCTAGGCTATTTCTGCTTTTCATAATCTCTTACCTTCCTCAGTTTGTTAACCCAAGGATGTCCAAAGCTTCTTCCTCAGTGATCATCATTGGCTATGGAAGTGTATTCTGCTCAAATAATTATAGCTGTTTGAAAGTATGGGTCATTTATAAATCTTGAACTTTGAAATACAGGTCTACGTATATCTGCTAACTACATTAACGAGAAAAAGAGAAAGGAGAAAATAAAATGTCTCTGTTGCCTCTGCCTTGTCTGAAATCTCAGAGAAGTAAAGGCACAGTTTAGTTATCCAGAGCCAGATCCATTGTTAAAAGTTCATGCCATCATTTTGACATTTAGTGTTGGACTTTCTCTTTATAAATCCCTCTTCACTTTACCAGTGCTGGTCTCCGAGCTTGAACTGTTTCAAAACCATAACATTTCTTAGTGAGTGATTGATCTGTATTACGTGTCCAGTCATCAGGGGGATCTTGGGATGTTGCTTGTATAAACTGTAATCCAATCTGATGCTGTGCATTTAGTTACAATCTTTCATAGACCTGTTGGTGATACTCTATCCTCCTGGATTTGGGAATAGAGCTTATCTGATACCTTCAGGGGGAAAAAATCCATTCATTTTCTTTCTTCCCCACTTAAATAACTCAACACATCTGGTAACACTGTAGGATCATTGTCCTTCCAGTTCCTCTGCAATCATATTGCTACAATATTTCTTAAGTATTTGGTTACCTAAAGGGCAATGTGATTAAAAAAAAAAAAAAAAAAAACTTTGTATAGGTCTTACAAATTAACCCATCTGCAGGGCTAGAGAAAAAAAATGGCTTTAATCAGCAAAATTTCCATATCAGCAGCCTTGTCTGTGTTACACAGTATGAATGTAAATATAAACTTGGAGATAAATGCTCTTGTGTTAAAATTTTAAAGCAAGTCTTTCCACAAATTAATATAATTTGTGTCTAAGAAAATGTTTATTAAATCTAAGGTACCTGAGATTAAAGTATCTTGTTGTTTGGGTCTGTATCCTTTGGCTTAATAATGTCTTCAATTACAAGAATGATAAAAGCTGAAACAAAATCCTTTAATTCAATCTGAACTGAGCTAAATTTTAGGAAGCAAAGAGTGGAAATCAGATATAATAGGACTGCATAATATAGGAAGCTAAATACACAAGATATTAAGACTTCATAAGAAGCAGTTGGGGCTGCTTTGAGGAATTCTTGTTTGGAACAGTGGCTTTGAAATACTACTATTTTATCCTCTTGAATTAAGATGGTTTATGCAAACAACTCTAAATTGTACAGTAGTTCCAAAGAGACTGTTTTCTGCTTGTTTTACATTCTGGAATAAGTTCAAAGCTTTTGATTTTGCTTGATTTTTTTTAACAGCCTGAGCCTTGAAAATAATACACATTTGATGAATATGATTTCAATATTGCAGTTCTATAAAAAATTTTCAAGTGTTTATGGTACATTTGACCCAGGGGCCCTCCACCAAATATATCCACAGCGCATTTTAAGTACAACAGAATGAACACATATGAAAGGTTAACCATTTTTTTGCTTTTGCTTTTCTTTCTGTATTAAGTATGAAAATTAGCATTGTAATGGCTCCCAGAATGGAGATACTGAAAAAGTATCCACCTGACAGAAATAAACATACAGAAAATAAATTGAGTTAAGATTTCATTAGGTATCTGAAACTTAAGCTTCTGTTCAAAATGGCTATTACTGGATTTTCATGTATATTAGTTCAATGCTGTGCTTGTAAGATTTTTTTTGCTTGAATTATGCCTGAAAAAAATTGGATTACAGCTCTAATATGCAGGTGGGCAGTGCCATTTGCCAGGATCTTTGTATATAACCCCGTTTTTTCTATCAAGCACAAGTACTGCCTTGCTGTTAAGCCTTCTGAGTCATTTTGAGGTAAAAATGGGCATAAAATCTTTTGTTTCTTTTATTTTTTTCCTTAATTTTTAGGTTGTGGAACTTTTAGCAAGTGCTCTTATGGACTTGGTACAGGGAGTCTACCGTGAAAATTCTACTTCAGCAAAGGTAACGATTGTGTATTCATTATAAAATGTTAGGTTAAAAACCCTCATGGCAAAACTAGAATTGACGAGCGAAAATGTCATTTTTGTTTTGTGTTTAAATTGTACATGACATTTTTTTTTAGATTAGTGTTTTGGCTACAAATTCATGGCCATACGCTTAGTACATAGCAGATTTAGCCAATTAAAACAACCTCTTATCCTCTGGCTGGATTCACAGTCTGTTCAATCTGCAGCAGCCCAGTAGACGCCAGGATGGCTGTGTCTAGTGGCTGGCAGGTAGCACCGTCACAGGGCAGGCAGACTGGAGAGACAGCACGCGCTGAGGTGGCTGAGCGCAACCTTTCCCCAGAGGAAGGGGCCTTCCATGTCCCAGAAGAGTGGACATGATCTGAAGAGGATGACTTTTGAGGGCATGAGGAAGGAATGTGTTTTCTGTCCCAGATCCAGGATTTACTGCGTTATTAAATTGTCTGTGATAAGAAGTAGGATGATTGTGCAGTTGGATCATTCTGATTAATTATATAGATCTAGAATTAAGGTTTTTTGACTCATTTAACAGGACATCTTATGGGTTAGGTTTTATTTCTTTAAAATGCAGTTATTTCATTTCAGGAGGATATTGAATGTGTAGCAATTGCCTCATTGACCACCGCCATCATTTAGCATGGTATATGCTATTATACAGGATTCCTATCTTAGGGTTTCATTATTCTAACTTCTTTAGCTTCTGTATTAGCAAGATTTCACTCACTGCAAATTAGAGAAAATATGTGCATATGCACATCCTGGGCTTTTTGACATTTCCATTTGAAAAAAGAAAGACTGATTTTACTGGAAAATGAAACATAGGGCATGAGCAACTTGCATAGGAAATTTAGAAGTATAACCCAGGGACTCTGGATGGCTCAGAGAATAGTTAGTAAAGAATGAAGAATTGTACCTTGGATGTCTAACATTTGGTTCAAGGAACCACAGTCCCCAGGAGGCATATCTAACTTCACCTAAGCCGCCTAGTGGTATGTGGGACCCGGCAGGATATACGACCACAGTGGGACCCCCTTTGCTACATTTTTCAAAAATACACCATACTTCACTGTCATGGCTGAGGATTAGTAGCACATTGTAAAATGGAAGATTCCTGGTCCTGTTCCAGTCATAAGAAGCTGCCTCATATATAGTATAATGAAGATGATGATCACTAAATAAGTAACTTACCCATGTTTCTTCATTTAATCTTCACAGAAAGCCTGCTAGCAGATACTGCTGCTATCCCCATTTGACATATGTGAAAACTGAGGTTTAGGAAAAGTTAAATAATTTGCAACTCATACAACTTACTACTTGAGATTTGAACTCCGGAGCTCAGATTCTTAACCTCACGTTTTCTACCGTGATACCTTAATGAACCCCAATTTGCTAGCATCCCTCTGCCATACCTGAGATCCCACTGTGTAAGGTGATTACAGCGACCTCTTCTGGCCGTTGAGGCATTTTCCCCTGGTACAATTCCAACATGTTCACAGTAGTTCCATGTAAGATATTAATATCTTACAGTTAAATACCTTAATTTTTAAGCCAAAGTATTATTATTGGCTTTAGGGTTCTTGGTTTATTCACTCTTAACCGTTTGTCCACTATATAATTAGCCTAGTTTGTTAATAAGTACTTTCTGTATGTCAGGCAGACCTACTAGCAAAGACCATAATAAATGCTTAGATAGCACTTTACAGTTTGCTTATACTTTCTCTACAGTTACCCATAAAAAGGGGGACATTTGTTGGTACGCTCATGTTATAGAGGAAGAGCCTGAGATTCAGGGATGACAAGAGGCAGGAAGGCCTATTATCTGGAAACTGTTGATGCATGTTTCACAGTGGCATGATCTGAACCCAGGTTTTTTGACTCCAAGTCCCACTTAAAATATTTCTTCCTGGGAAAGAGAAAAGAGGAAGCAACCAAAAGTCTTTGAAGGACTGTTGATCGTACGTGCACTGCCACTTAGCAAGCACTAATTGCTGACTTTGATTAGCTAGCTTTACTCCAAAGAATCTGTAGCAATGCTTTGTCCATCTGCCCTCTTTCCCTAAAGGCTCCCAAACGCAGCCCTTTAAAGCACTAACAACCTTCTTTAAGCAATTACATTTCTGAATATAGCCAAACCATTTAAAGAGCTGTTTTGGTTGGTTTTGTTTTCTTTTGTTTTGTTTTTATAACGGAAGCAAAATGCATAGTTGGACTGAAGCCGTGGGAGTGCTTCTTGATGCCTCCATTTGTGCCCCAGGTCCAATTTAGGCTTACCACACTTCCCTTCCTAACCAGAAAAATCCTGGCCTTTCTCCCCCCTCCATTGCAATGGCAGTTCAGAATTTGGGTTCTCTAACTTGGCCCAGGAATCCCTTCAGAGGCAGAGAGAGCACTGCCCCACATGGATTGCCTTCAAGGTTTTTATGTTCTGGCATGACTGGGAAGCAGCCACAAGTGAAGGTCATGTGGGAAGTGAGTGGCACAACCTCCGTAGCCTGGGGCCAGTTCAGTACACAAAAGAATTCCTTTGTGATTCAAAATCAGCTGCAAACCATTTCTTCTCTTTAGGGAGAAGAGAATACAATGGCAGTCTGTTTTCTATATGGCTACTTAATGCAGTGATGGAGAACCTGCGTAGTACGAAAATAGCTTTCTGAGGAGCAGTATCTATGTGACCAGGGTAGATGCACTAAAAGCAAATGGAGGAGAATTACAACTGACTATGTCCAAATCACCTTCTCCAGAAGTTTGTAATTACCTCATCCTCCTTTACACTATGAAAATTTGTGTGACTTGTGTTAGGAATACTTGACAGAGCATATGTAAATTGTGATCATGTAAACATTCAAAGTAATTTTGGAAATTCATCCTTCATTCTAGCCATTAAAAACAATATTTTTAGCTTTGTGTTTGTTAGTGAATGAGCCTTTTTTTCCTTATAATAAAAATTAGCCATTGTGCTTTCTTCAGTGCTTATAACATTTCCTCTCTCTCTGTTTTGTTGTTGTTGTTAGCTAATTGGGGGGAGACAAGCATGTTAAATAGAAAAATTGCATTTTACTTTTTTTATTTTAAGTTTATTTATTTTGAGAGAGAGTACAAGTGGGGGGATGGGAAGCGCAGAGAGAGCTAACAGGAGACAGAGAATCCCTGTGCTGATAGCACAGAGCCCAAACCAAACGGGGGTTCAATCCCACAAACCGTGAGGTCATGATCTGAGCCAAAATCAAGAATTAGATGCTTAGCCAACTGAGCCACCCAGGTGCCCTCCAAAAATTGCATTTTAAATGCCATGGTTGTTTACCATTCTAAGTGTTCCCCAAGTCCTGCCTTGTACATTGTATTCATGTTACTCACTGTACACACTAAACACTTTGCATTTTAGCAAAATTGGTTTTGAATCCACAGACCTTTATATCTAAAATCTTTATAACATCATTATCTCATAACTAGTTTCTAATTAGAAAAGTAACTACCTATTCAGTGATAAAAAATTGAAAGCACAGAAAAAGGTCAAGAGGAAAAAAGAAATTATTTTACATAAACCATCCCCCAGAAATGAATCATGATTACACTTTAATGTATTTCCTTCTAGATTTTATTCCATATTTAATAAATACAGAATATAAATAAAATAATATAATAAATACAGAAATAGAATATAAAATAAAAACAAATAGACTTTTAAAAAAAGTTTTTAAAAGTTGGAAATGCAAACTGGTGCAGCCACTCTGGAAAGCAGGATGGAGGTTCCTCAGAAAATTAAAAATAGAACTACCCTGCGACCCAGCAATTGCACTACTGGGTATATATCCAAGGGATACAGGTATCCTGATTCAGAGGGGCACATGCACCCCAGCGTTTATATCAGCACCATCAACAATAGCCAAATGCAGAACAAACGTAAAGAAGATGTGATATATATATATATATACACACATACACACACACACATATACACACAATATATACACATAAATATACACTATACACACACACAATGGAGTATTACTTGGCAATCAAAAAGAATGAAATCTTGCCATTTGCAACTACATGGATGGAACTAGACGGTATTATGCTAAGCAAAGTTAGTCAGAGAAAGACAAATATCATGACTTCACTCATGAGGACTTTAAGACACAGAACAGATGAACATAAGGGAAGGGAAACAAAAATAATATAAAAACAAGGAAGGGGACAAAACATAAGAGACTCTTTTATTTTATTTTATTCTTTAATAGTTTATTGTCTCCCTCTCTCTCTCCCCTTCCCATATAACATATAAATCATATACAGTTGGTTTCCATATAACACCCAGTGCTCATCCCCACAAGTGCCCTCCTCAATGCCCATCACCCCCCTTCCCCTCTCGCCCACCCCCATCAGCCCTCAGTTCTCAGCATTCAAGAGTCTCTCATGGTTTTCCTCCCTCCCTCTACCCAACTATTTTTCCCCTTCTTCTCCCCCACGGTCCTCTGTTAAGTTCCTCCTAATCCACCTATACGTGCAAACATATGGTATCTGAAGAGACTCTTTTAATATGGACAACAAACAGAGGGTTACTGGAGGGGGTGGGGGAGGGGAGGATGGGCTAAATGGATAAGGGGCATTAAGGAATCTACTCCTGAAATCATTGTTGTACTATATCTAACTAACTTGGATGTAAATTAAGAAATAAATTTTTTAAAAAGTTAAAAAAGTAAAATCTGTTCTTTAAAAAAAAAGAATATTTCCAATATATACAAAATTGATTGCTATCCTTAGAAAAGCCTGCTTATAAGATTGGCCTTTGGCTGGAATCTGGGAACTTGGATTTTAGGAGTGTCTCTATCATTATCTAACTGGTAAGTGCAACTCACTGTACCCAAACTGTTTCTGTAAATAATGTGGTTTATTTTGAATACCTGCTTTCCTTCTGGGAGTCTGGAATGATGGTATACACTACACAGAGAGGATGACCAACCCCTACAAAAACCCTGAGCGCTGAGTCTCCAATGAATTTTCCTGGTAGACAGTATTTCATATATGTTATCACATGTGTTCATTCCTGTAGGAATTAATCATATCCTGTTTGACTCCACTGGCAGAGAATTCTTAGAAGCTTGAGTCCAGTTTTCTGTAGACTTCATCTCATGCACCTTTTTCTGTTTGCTGGTTTTGTTTTATATCCTTTGCTGTAATAAACCACAGTTGTGAGTTGGACTATATGTTGAGTCCTGCTAGTCCTCCTAACAAGGTCATCAAACCTTGGGGTGGTCTTAGAGACTCGTAAACACTCTTTTTCTGATTCTATATTGTTTATTTCCACCCACTCGTACTCCTTCCTTGGGAATCTAATCAAGGTCCACTGCAACACTCAGGTTGATTTTGAAATGGGGAACAGCACACCTCTTTCCTGTCTTCAGAGATTCTGCTCATGTTGGCTTGGCCGCAGTCTCAGGGAAAGTGAGAGGGTTTTAAAGAGGATCCAGTTCTCTTGGAAAGGAACTGGTTTTAACAGAGCTACTAAAATTACAAAGATCCATTCTGTATTTTTTACAAGCATAGATTATAGTTTCAGTATATTATTCTCTTATGAGAAGTAGACAAGGTCACTTCTGCCCATTTATTTATTTATTTATTTATTTATTCTTTATGCTTATCTTCCTTGGTCCCTTAGCCTCTTTCAAGTAAAATACAAGAATAAGATATTTCAGTCCACCAGGAAGTTATAGATTGGTGCCTACCTGCAAAGTCCAATGCCACCTTCTAAAATACAATAAAAAGATTAGCAAGGTGAGTTTTGTCCGTTGAAAAACATAACGAGGAAAATGTGAACAAAAGGTCACATCTGGTTGGGAAAATCAGAAAAGACTTCAAGAGAATGTGATATTTGAAGTGGACATTTAAGGATAGGAAGGATATCTGTTGATGGAGAAGGATGTCATTCCAGGCAGAGGGAATAGCATGACCAAAAGTAGGGAGGCATATTTAAGATCAGGCCTTCATCCACATTAGAATAAAGGAATAGTAAGAAGACTGGAAAGGGAGGTTTTGTCACATGCTTGAAGACTTGTGATGCCAGAATATAGAACTAAAACCACATTTAGTACTTGAAATAAGGGAGGGATTAAAGATTTTGTTTAATTTTTTAATGTTTACTTTTGAGAGAGAACATGAGCAGGGGAGGGGCAGAGAAATTTGGGAGACCCAGAATCCCAAGCAGGCTCCAGGCTCTGAGCTGTCAGTACAGAGCTCAAACTCACAAATCATGAGATCATGAACTGAGCTGAAGTTGGACACTTAACTGAGCCACCCAGGTGCTCCAGGATTGAAGATTTTTAAACAAAGGAATTACATGATCAAGTTAACCTTTGAGAAAGTTAATTCATCAGTAGTCATTACGATGGTTTACAGGAAATTAAAGGTATGTGAAAACAGTTAGAAAGCCAAAACAATAAAGGCTGGGGGTACTCTTCTTCCTATTTAATGTAGTTGGCCCCTTCTTGATATTCATATCTCTACATCAACATCTTTTCAGAGACCAGCCCCTCACCCAATCTGAAGTAGCCACCCTGTTTAATTCCCTTTATCTTCATCATAGTTGTCACCCTCTGATAATTTTCTTATGGTTTCTCCTACAAGCGTATAAACTCTGTGGGAGGTAGACTTTTGTTTACCATTGTATTCCTAATACCAGAACAGTGCCTAGCACATTAGTAGTAGCCCAAAAATAGTTGTTAAATTAATGATATAGCTTTATTGATGTATAGTAGACTTCAAATATTTTCTTTCTTTATTTTTATTTTTTACTGTCTGCTTTTTGGAGAGAGAGAGACAGAATGTGAGTCAGGGAGGGACAGAGAGTGAGACACAGAATCTGAATTAGGCTCCAGTCTCAGAGCTGTCAGCACAAAGCCTGGCACGGAGCCAAAACCCACAGACTGGGAGATCATGACCTGATCCGAAGTTGGACACTTAACCGACTGAGCCACCCAGATGCCCAACGTTTTATTTTATTTTTTGAGAGACAGAGAGAGACAGAGCATGAGCAGGGAAGGGGCAGAGAGAGAGGGAGACACAGAATCCAAAACAGGCTCCAGGCTCTGAGCCGTCAGCACAGAGCCTGAGGCAGGGCTCAAACACATCAATGGGAGATCATGACCTAAGCCAAAGTCGGATGCTCAACCAACTGCAGGCACCCCAAACTGCAAATATCTCAAGTACACAATCTGATGTTTTAATATTTGTGTGTACCATTGAAACTATCATCATAATCAAGATAATAAACATAGCCATTACTCCCAAAGAGCAGGCTTGCTTACTACTTGCTACAAAAGCAGTAATCCTCAAAACTCAGTGTTTCATTTGTTTGTTTTTAGCTGTAACACAAATCCACTGAAGGCATAACATCCATATGAGCCCACATTGTTGCTCCTGCAGGACTTGGGATCAACAGTAACCAACACAAATATGCTCATGCACATGCTTTTTGCTGTGCCATGAATAATAAAGTCCTTTATCTCTGATCCAGGAGTCTTGTGTCTTATGTTAGCATCACTAAAATAGTCTCAGGCTAATTCATTAGTTTGTATGTAAGGTAAAGCAAACTCTCAGACCCAAGAGCTAGAGCTCCCAACACAATGTTGAAGTAATGAGAATGGACATTCTTGACATGGCTCCTGATGCTACCAGAAAGACATTCAGTATTTCACCATTAACTGTGATGTTAGTTGTAGGTTTTTGTTTTTGTTTATAGAGGCTCTTGATTAGTGAAGAAGTTCCCTTGTATTCCTAATTTCCTGAGAGTTCTTATCAGGCATTAATGTTGATTTGGACAATTTTTTCTACAGCTATTGAGGTGATGTTTCTTGTTTATTTTTTTTCTCTTTTAGGTTTTCCTTTTTTAAAAGACTATTAGTATGGTAAATTTATTATCTAAAGTCTCCTTTATATACATTGTTGAATTTGATGTGCTAAAATTTTGTTAATGTTTACATCTATATTATTGCATAATAAATTGGAAAGTATTTCCTCCTTTTTGATTTTTTGAAAGATTTTTTTGTAAAATTAGTATTCTTTCTTCCTTAAATATTTGATAGAATTCATTAGTGAAGCCATCAAACCTTTCTTTGTGGGAAAGTTGGGGTTTTTTTTAACTACAAATTCAATGCTTTAAAAAAACTTCTGGACTACTTAGGGTTATGTGTTTCTTTGTGAGTCAGTTTTGCTAGTTTATGGCCTTTAAAGAAATTGTTTATTTCATCAAAGTTGTCAGATTTATTAGCATAAAGTTCTTAATAATATGTCCATATTATCCTTATGATATATGTAGAGTGTGTATTGATATCACCTCTCTCATTTCTGACATTAGTAATTTGTGTCTTTTTTATTTCCCCAAGATGCTAAACAATATTATTGACCAGCTTTTGGTTTTACCGACTTTCTCTCTTTTTCATCTTTCTATATTCTTTCTTCTGATTACTTTGGTTTTACTTCCATCTTTTATAAAGCTTTTTAAAGCTGAAATCATTTATAAATTGAAACCTGTTTTCTTTTCTAAGACATTTAATGCAATGAATTTCTCTCTAAGTGCTACTTTAGCAACATCCCACAAGTTTTCATTACATTACTTTTAAATTTTTCATTCAGTTCAGCCTACTTACTAATTTCTCTTTTGATTTTTTTCTTTGACTCACGGGTTATTTAAAACCTTGTTATTTAGTTTCTGAGTGTTTTGAGATTTTTCCAGATGTCTTTCTGTCATCGATTTATAATACCTTTGTGGTTAGAGAGTATTTTTTATATGGTTTGAGTTATTTTAAATGTATCAAGAGTTGTTTTATGACCCAGATATGATCTGTCTTGGTAAATGTTCACTTAAAAAGAATATGTATTCTGCTGTTGTTTATGGAGTGTTATGTAAATATCAATTAAGTCAGATTGGTTGATAGTGTCATTAAAGTCTTCTGTATCCGTAATTGTTTCCATTCTGCTTGTTTTCTCAGTTACTGAGAGAGGGTGTTAAAGTCTCTGATTATAATTGTGGATTTTTCTATTTCTCCTCACAGTTCTATCAGTTTTTCCTTCATGTATTTTAAATCTCTGCTTTAGACACATTAACCTTAGGATCTTTGTGTTATTTTAATGATTTGATCCCTTTACCATTATCTTTTTTTTAAATGACCTTTCTTCAGCCCTGTTATATTCTTTATGGGTTTTTTTTTTCTGATCTATACCTTATCTGATGCTAATATAATCATTCCAGCTTTCTTTTGATTAAAATTATGGTATGTCCTTTTCCATCCTTGTACTGTTTTTATATTTAAATTTTTTTAATGTTTATTTTTGAGAAGGGGCGGAGTGTGTAAGAGCCAGAGAGGGACAGAGAGAGAGGAGGAACAGAGGATCTGGAGCAGGCTCTGCAACTGGAAGCAGAGAACCCGATGCGGGGCTAACACCCTTGAACAGTAGTGAGACTATGATACCAGTGGAAGTCTGAAGTTCACCGACTGAGCCACCAAGGCACCCCCTGTTTTTATATTTAAAGTAGGCTTTTTATAAGCCGCATTTAGGTGGATCTTGCTCTTTTTATTCAGTCTGATGATCTCTACCTTTTAATTTGTGTGTTTAGATTATTTACATTTGATGTGTTTATTGATATGGTTGAGTTTAAGGGCCATCTTATTATTTGTTTGCCATTTGTCCCATTTGTTTTACCCTTTCCTTCTGTTTCTGCCTTCTTTTAGATTATTTTTCACAATGCCATTTTGTCTCCTTTTTAACTTGTTAGCTATAACTCTTTACTGCATTTTTAGTAGTTGCTCTTGAGTTCATAATATATATCTTTGATTTATCACAGTCTAGTTTCAAGTGATAGTATACCTTTACTTACAGGGTAAGAAGCTTACAAAAATTCATTTCTACTACTTCCTTCTCAGCCTTTGCATTATCATTTTCATATATTTTGCTCCCATATATTATAAATCTCACAGTACAGTGTTACTATGTTTGCTTTAAACATTCAATTATATATTTAATGTTTTAATGTTTATTTAATTTTGAGAGAGAGACATGAGCATGAGTGGAGGAGGGACAGAGAGAGAGGGAGACACAGAATCTGAATCAGACTCCAGGCTCTAAACTGTCAGCACAGAGCCCGACGCGGGGCTCGAACCCACAAACCATGAGATCA